GTGCTACAGTATGAATATGACACCGATGAGACAGACACACACACACACACACACACACACACACACACACACACACACACACACACACACACACACACACACGTATGAGACTGTGAAGGTGAAACAATCTTCGACAGAAGTTTCAAAGTCCAACCGTTTTACAAGAAAAACAAATGGAAAAACTGCACAGAACCACACAAAGATAATCAATGGATAGGTTAATTAAAAGGTTATTCGACAGGTGAAAATATGAATAGCTGTAAAATTACAAATCCTCTGAAGCACCAGAGAGGAACACCTGCTGACAAAATAGCGTCCATGTTAACAAAAACGGCGCGTGTAAAAGAAGTTCTAACTCAAAACCTCCAAACCAGATCATCATAACATCATAACAAGGCAACACGTGAACAAAGAACTGCATCCGGTTTATTTATGAATGAATATGCAGATTTCATGCACTGTAGTTTGCAGGGGAGGAGAAAGTGGCCAGATTATGGTACAGACTGAGGTACAGTAAGTATAATTGCAAAATAAGACAATATTTATGTTACAGAGGAAGTTAAGTATGAACAGTGGAGACCAGAAGAATAGAAAACATCGACTAAATCTACTAAAGAACAAATGAAAGGTGGACAGAAGAAGAGTGACTTAAAGAGAAGCAGATGGTTTCCAGTCTGTCTCATCACTCAGGTCCAGTTGCAGCTCAGGTACCTCAGCACCTGCAGGCTGATGGGGTCACTGACTGGATGGATGGATGCTGACCAATCGGCTGGCTAGTATTAGCAGCTTAGCTGAACGAGTACCTTGCTGGCCAGCGTGCTATGGCACAATGACTAATGATCCAACTCACTCCTTCACTCAGACCTGCAGGCGAGCAGCGAACTGAGCTGTAATGTAATTCAAAGTAAAAGGTTGGCCTGCTAATGAACACTTTGCATGGAAGAGCACTAAAGGATAGAGACACAGTAAAGCGCTTAGTGACCTGTGAATCATTCAGCATGAGGTATAAAATAACCAAATATATATAAAAACCTTTTCTTAAAAATAAACTCCAACAAGACCTTTTTATGTAAACCAGCAGTTTGTACAGAAGACTTCAAACTGGCGTCACTTAAGAGACAAAATATTTTGCCATGTTTTTTTAAAAATACGAATACATTTGATGTCGACCCTCCTGTGGTGTCAGGAACATTACCTGTGATTCTGATGAATGAAAGAATAACATTTGTTTCTTTAATCAGCGTGTCGAGCACTAAATCACATGTTCAGAGACATTTTGGGTGAATTAAGCCCACATACACTGCGAAATGTTCTCCACCCTGGATTCTGACTAACAGAGCGAGCGTGGTGGTGGGAGAGGAGCTGTGCTGCATGAAAGTGTAGATGTGAGGGCAGCTCTCAGGTAGGAGATGGGCTATGAAATGACCTTTGCTTTCTGCTAACCTAGCACACAGAGACGCTCTTTATGCTGATGCATTTTGTGTGAGGTGTTGTGATGTGTAGGAACAAAGGCAACAGCAGGAGCAGGGTTCATCTTTGATTGCGTCCTCACAACTGTGGCTTCACTAACAGGCTCGCTGCTGCTGCAGGGATCCTGGCACCTAGCTCCTCTCAAACCCACACTCCATTTTTATTAGCATACATGAGTACTGTTTACACCTCACAGTTACATTTCACGTGCTTCACGTGTCACTGCTGAAGAAACCCAATGAAACCTAATTATGGGAACATTTGAAAGTCATACAACGACTGCGGCGCGTTGCGCATCTTTGATTTAATCAGTGCTGTCAGTGTTCATGTTAACGACGTGTCTCTGTCAGCGACACAGTGGGTTCTCTCATTATCTCGAGTCTGGACGGTTCATAGCTGAGATGGCTTCACAAGCTTTCACTACACTACACGAAGAAGAAGCTTCACGAAAGTTTAAAGTAAGAAATAAAAAGTGTTATCAAACATCTTTACGTAAGTTGTGCTCCAATGATATGCATGTATTCATCAATTAAGCATCATTCTGCCTGTTTTATAATTTCCTGTTTTTGTGGAGATGGCATCGGCCCTCTGTGACTCACCTGCAGGACAGGTGCACCCCTCTCCACGCCGTCTTCCAGCGGGCGCCACAATGTCCACTGTAATCCTGGATGTCCTGGTTATTTGTTTCTTGCGTGTTTGTGTCCTGCTGAGCACTGTGTGCATTACTTCTGTCCACACACCTCAGGTCTCAGCAATAAACACTAGTGTCTTCTGTTTTTGTAGCACCGAACGGGACCTTCAGAGGATTTGTGAGGACAT